GAATAAGAAAGAGTATTCATAAGTATTAATGCTCATGATTTTAATTTAATCGATTTATAAATAATCTTTATACTCACTCCCTAAATTAATGTGAATGAAATAATGAATAGTAAATAAGTATGAATTTATGAATAAGAAAGAGTATTCGTGAATAAGCATTTATGTTCATGATTTTAATTTCATTGATCTATAAATCTTTATACTCACAGGCTAATTAATGCGAATGAAATAATGAATAAGTATTTATGAATATGAAAGAGTATTCATGAATAAGTTTTTATGTTAATGATTTTAATTCCATCAAGTTATAAATCATTTTGTACTCACGGACTAAATTAATGTGAATGAAATAATGAATAGTAAATAAGTATGCATTTATGAATAAGAAAGTGTATGATGAATAAGTATTTATATTAATGATTTTAATTTCATTGATCTATAAATCTTTATACTCACAGGCTAATTAATGCGAATGAAATAACGAATAGCAAATAAGTATGTATTTATGAATAAGAGAGTATTCATGAATAAGTATTTATGTTCATGGTTTTAATTCCATCGAGTTATAAATCATTTTGTACTCACGGGCTAAATTAATGCGAATGAAATAATGAATGATAAATAAGAAAGTATTTACGAATTTATGAATAAGAAAGAGTATTCATAAGTATTAATGCTCATGATTTTAATTTAATCGATTTATAAATAATCTTTATACTCACGGGCTAAATTAATGCGAACGAAATAATAAATAAGTATACATTTATGAATAAGAAAGAGTATTCATTAATAAGTATTTATGTTAATGATTTTAATTCCATTGATTTATAACTATCTTTATACTTACGGTCTAATTAATGCGAATGAAATAATGAATGGTAAATATGGAAGCATTTATGAATAAGAAAGAGTATTCGTGAATAAGTATTTATGCTCATGATTTTAATTTCATTGATCTATAAATCTTTATACTCACTGACTAATTAATGCGAATGAAATAATAAATAAGTATTTATGAATATGAAAGAGTATTCATGAATATGAAAGAGTATTCATGAATATGAAAGAGTATTCATGAATATGAAAGAGTATTCATGAATAAGTTTTTATGTTCATGATTTTAATTCCATCAATTTATAAATCATTTGTACTCACCGGCTAAATTAATGTGAATGAAAAATGAATGGTAAATAAAGAAGTATTTACGAATTTATGAATAAGAAAGAGTATTCATAAGTATTAATGCTCATGATTTTAATTTCATCGATTTATAAATCATCTTTATACTCACGGACTAAATGAATGTGAATGAAATAATGAATAGTAAATAAGTATGCATGTATGAATATGAAAGAGTATCATGAATAAGCAATTATGTTTATGATTTAATTACATCGATTTATAAATCTTTATACTCACAGTCTAAATAATACGAATAAATAATGAATGGTAAATAAGGAAGTATTTACGAATTTATGAATACGAGAGTATTCATGAATAAGTATTTATGTTCATGATTTTAATTTCATTAATTTATAAATCATTATACTCACCGACTAAATTAATGCGAATGAAATAATGAATAAGTATTTATGAATATGAAAGAGTATTCATGAATAAGTATTTATGTTAATGATTTTAATTCCATCAAGTAATAAATCATCTTTATACTCACTGACTAAATTAATGTGAATGAAAAATGAATATTAAATAAGTATGCATTTATGAATAAGAAAAAGTATGATGAATAAGTATTTATGTTTGTGATTTTAATTTCATCGATTTATAAATCATCTTTGTACTCACGGACTAAATTAATGTGAATGAAATAATGAATAGCAAACAAGTATGTATTTATGAATAAGAAAGTATTCATGAATAAGAGAGTATTCATGAATAAGTATTTATGTTCATGATTTTAATTTCATTGATTTATAAATCATTATACTCACCGACTAAATTAATGCGAATGAAATAATGAATAAGGTATTTGTGAATTTATAAATAAGAAAAGAGTATTTATAACTTTAATTCTATCGATTTATAAATCGTCATTATACTCACCCTCTAAATTAATGCGAATAAAATAATGAAAGTAATAAGTATGAATTTATGAGTAAGAATATTATTTATGAATAAGTATTTATAAACATACTATCTGGAACTGTAGGTAACTGAACAGTAAGCAATGACCAAGAAATATGATTACTATTTGTATCTCGTAGAGAGAGTAAAAGAGTATTATTATGTTTCAAGATGCCATATGCGCTAACACCAGTTGTATTAAAGTACGTCAAATTAACTTTTGAATTCAAATTATAATCATTAAAATGATAATAAGAATAATAATAAGGAAATTCATAAATATAAATAAAACAAGTGGTGGCGTTAACAGCAGAAAATATATATCCGCCGGTAGGTGTTGAAAACACATTCCAGGGCACATCAATTTCGTTGGGAGTTTGGATTGGATTCGAATTTAATAATTTTTCTGTACAAAATTGAATTTCTTCATATTGCACTGTGTTGTTGTAGATGATGGAAGCAATACAATAGTAACAAAATCCAAAATATGCATTACAATGAACTGCATTAATTTTCATTTCAGGTCTAGTTATTGGAAAAAGAAGAATATAATTGTTCAAGGAAATTTGGTTGCCCTTGAAAATTTGATCGTAAGTTATAAATCTGGCATACAATCCGCCTAATGGACTCATAAAATCGCTTTTATTGCCTAAATATTTGGCATACAATATTGCATAACCTTCATCAACGGTGGCCAATGACGTAAAAAGGGTATAGTTAGTGGTTGGTTCATCGAGCTCGAATGTAACAATGCCAACATTTAATAAATTTCCATTAACATCACTATAATTAATTAGAATAGTTAATTTTACTGATTAAATGAAAGAAATAAGAGGACTATAGGAAATTAAATACATTGAATATTGCGAGCCAATGATGAAATTTACAGTGGAACTGTTGTGGAAATATACGTGAAGAAATAGTTCCTTGTTTATGTTTATTTCAATTAAACTTTTCGTAGCCCAAATTTTCTTAGAGGCATTAGCAGGGTATGGTTCAAGAGGTATGGAACTAGTAATTTAAAATAAATAAATAATAATGTTGACAGTTAGTTCATTATTAAAAATCTTTAAATATTTTGTAACATAACTTATCATCGGACCTTAGTTTTTCGCCATTCCAATTAAGAACAGTTCCCCAGCTTTCATAATATGGATAATTTAATTTCATATAACTCACTAATATAAATGGTTTTTTTAAAGGTCGTATTGAGATAGGATTCACCATTTCGCCAGTAAGTATGTCGTTAAATAAACAATAATTCACTGAATCAAGATTTAAATCAGTATTAATTTCAGTGACGGATCCATTTAAATGGATAATTCTTATACGTAAGATGGGTTCAAAACAATGCTCAGTATTATTATTTCTAACAAGATGGATGAGAGTTGTCCCGTCATCATAAAATTGAATGTCGATTGCATAAGGTTGTGATTGGGAGAACGTATTCTCTGTATAGGTAAAGTTTGTATATATAGTAGTGTTGGGTGTAATATACAAGTTCGATTCAGCTGTTATTGTTATAATTGAAAAGCTAATAAGCAATATAAAGAATAAACACGATTTGACAAGATTATAAGATTCTTTCATGATGAATCACTTAATAAAAATTTTATAAAAATTTATATAGCATGCTAGAGTCTTAATCTCTTTATATAAAATATATAACACATAAAAACTAGTAGATTGCATTACTTATAGTTGTTTTCTAAGCAGATGCGGACAGGAAATTAGGGCTGTTAAAACTTTTTGGAATTGGTCCTTTGAGCCAACTTAGCAATCCTATAAAAAAGGAATTGCGTTAGACGTGTAAAAGAAGCTCCATTTCAAACAAAATTGTCAAAAATTAAAATGGATCATTTTTAGACATCATTTACACGTTTGACACAAATATTATGCAATCCTTGTTGTTATAGGCAAGCTACTTTTGATCAAGTTTTTGCAATAAATATGCCCTATAAAAAAGGAATTGTATAATACTTGTACACCATACTTGTGTTAGACGTGTAAAATGATTTAGACAAAATTAAACAGAATGGACATTTTTACACGTTTATGTAAGGTACCATCCGTTGGGCACGGAATTGTATTAATAGGATTAGAGCGGAAAGAATCAGAGTGAGAGACCATAGTGCAATACTCTTAATAATTTAGCCATATCCGTCTCCTACCGGATAAATTTTCTTATTAGAAACATATATTTGCAAATCAAAAATCGAGGTGGGACCGTTAATGTTACACGTCGTGATCAATTAAAATAGAATTATTTATGTTGAACTCATAATTTCTCACTAGTTTTAATATATGTGTAATATTAACGGTCCCTTCTGTAGATCAAAAATTGGAGTAGGTATTGTGAGGCCAATAACGTGATGAAATTAAGATGCCGGGACCTCACGTGAGAACGGGTATGGCGATCAAATCCTTGATGGGTACCCTTATGTCCAGAAAATCCCGGGCTGAAGATCACTTCCGACCCTATCCGGATCCAATAAAATCACAGGA